ATATTTAATTTTTGTTTCAACAAAATTGTATTATTTATGTCTGAGATATTTAGGCTCAAACTCGAATGCACATATTTATTTCCCCGACAGGTAGGCTAGCGCCGCCATCTTTGTCCGTTTCGCCGGCTAGTAAGACTGCCACGCTCCTGTGCTCCAAGTAGCGCTTCTATTTTGTTATGTGTTCGCTGGGTAGGGGTGCTTTTTGAGAAATTTTCAAATGTAAACATGGGTTGTGTGATACATCAATTTAAAGGTCTAATCACCCCGATCATTTTGGTGCAAAAAAAGTATAATTATCTTTAACCGTATCTACAGGGTGGGTCAAAACGTTTCAAAAAAGGACTTTAAAAGTTAAGTACCGTATTACCCTAACTACTGAACGGAACAGCGCCAAATTTCTTTCCAAGCTTATTCTTGAGCTACTCTTTAAGATAACTTGTAGTAAGTGCATTTTCCATGATATTTTCTAATTAAAAAAAAATCTCAAATTTTAAGAATAAAAGAAAGCTGAAAACTCAAAATTCTTAAATAGCAAGGTATAAAAAAATTCATACCACGTGAAAGGTCCTTTTTTAACAAACGTTTTACGTATCTAAGTTTTCTTTCTATCTCTTACCGTTTAAAAATTGCAGTAGAAAAACATAATTTTTCAAAACGTGTTGACCCACCCTGTAGATACGGTTAAAGATAATTAAACTTTTTTTGCACCAAAATGATTGGGGTGATTAGACCTTTAAATTGATGTATCACACAACCAATGTTTACATTTGAAAATTTCTCAAAAAGCACCCCTACCCCCCAAATTGGGCCCTTTTGAGGCATTTTTCAAAATTGAAAATAATTTTATCGGGTTTGGCATGTCCAAATTAGGGGGATATGAGAACAAACAGGTGTTAAAAGCCTTACCTTTGCACACAACAGATATGGAAAGTTTTCAAATGAACACCCTGTATATTTTAAAAATGTAACTCCAATCAATTTAAAACATTCATTTGGTTAAACTAATATATCGGTTTGATTAACATCATAAATAGTCTATACAGGCCAACTATCCGTTCTACTTCATGTAAAAAAATTAAGCAGCCCCTAAATAAAATACAAAGATAAACAGTATTTGTTAATTATTATATCTTTTATTGCTGACAATATTCCCGTGGTGGAGCACGGGCGGTTAACTAGTATATTAAAATGCATTGAATATTCAACTCATTATTGATATGCAGGCTCCCACGTTATTGTTTTTGAGATATCACAGTTCATTTGGCGAATATAAAGTAGAAGCAGAACGGAAAAATATCCATCAATAACTCGAAGCTGAGTCAACGTTCGCCAACGCTTGCAACAGCAATTGTGTGCTTATTATACACCTGTCTGCTATGCTCTGTGTCACTAAGTTGTTTAGAGGTTTATTGCGGACATTTTCCATCACAATGGTAAAATACAATACACAATGTTTCAGGATCTGAAATCTGTTCCCATCTCAGGTGAAAAACTGAACCATCACACTAAATTAACAATACACAACACTCAAACTAAGTTGGAATACACTACAGAAAGTAGCAGTTAAGTATATGCACTCTATAGCAGTCAAGTCATGATACAAAATGCCAAATAATATAACCAATCACAAAACACAAAAATCTATATGTAGGAAAATAAAAAATATGATGTAGGGCAGGGTAAATAGCTCACAACAATGGGACACTAATCGCACAGCTCGCAATGATCGAGCTGTGCAGACGGCGCACAGCTCGACAATGAGACTGAAGCATCATGGTCAACCAATCCGGACACAAAGACAACCGGAGGTGGTGTCTCTGGAAAAGTAAAACCAACAAAATGGTGGAGCGATGTACGATGCTGCAAAAAGGAGATGTTAGTTTTTTTTTTCTATCACGAGCTTAACTACGATTTAACATACCGTGCAATTTGAGAAGAACTCATGATTTCCCTATTTATTGAAAAATTACATTCTCTATTCTTTAGTTCATTGTTCAGAATGCGTAGCCATAGTGGCCTGATTTCAACCGAAGATTTACCGATAGGTTGGTCTGCTAACTTAATGTACGAGGCTTAAGTGAGGTTAAACGTTTGAAACAGTGAGGATCCTTATGGACAATTTGTGCCTCTTCAAAATTCATACGATAATTTTCGGACCAGCAATGATGAGTGATTTTTGATTTTTCCACTAAACCTTTTTTGGTGTTTTCTTTGTGTTCTATTTATATTATTCTAGTGTTGAATGGTCTTTTTGTTTTGCCATAGTAAGGCCTGGAACAATCATTACAATTTATTCTATAAACACAGTTTTTAGCATCCTGAGTGCTATTTTGGGTATAAAATAAATAAATATATCTTTATTGTCACATAAACGTTTTACAGATTACATAGCATAAGCTACAAAAACAGGTGACATTGTCAATATAATCATATATCATAATAAGTACCTAAAATACTAAAAAATAAACAATGATTCTTACAAATAATTATTTGGGTTATTTTATAAAACATAATATTTGCTAATTTAAAAAATTACCATCATTCAAAAATTCGTCAATACTATAATATATTTTGTTTACAAGAAATGAGGCAAGGCTGCTTTTAAAAGACGTTTTGTTTATTAAATCTTTATATTTTGGTTGCAGTTTATTAAACAATTTCTTTCCCATATATTTTGGTGTTTTTTCTATTAATTTTAATCGGTGAATCGGAAACTGAAAATTCTTTTTGAAACGGGTGTTATATGGATGGTCAAAATTCTCCGCACATAAGTTTTCAAAATTTGATTGTACCATTAATAAGGATTTAAAAATGATTAAACTTGGTACAGTCATTATATTAAGTTCTTTAAAAATTGGTCTACATGATTGCTTTCGTTTAGCAAATGTCATTATTCTTAAGTATTTTTTTTGAACTTTAAAAATCTTTTCTATTTCTGATGAGAATCCCCAAAATTCAATCCCATAATGCAATATTGAATAAAAATAGGCATAATATATCATTAAACATGTTTTCATATCCAAAATATTTCTCAAACAAAGCATTTGGAAACAGGCAGAATTAAGCTTATGTAATATGTTTTCAATGCACTTGGCCCAGGTTAAATTTGAATCAACATTCAAACCTAAAAATTTTGTACATTTGGCAGTTTTGGTTCTTGTTTTATGTGTGAAATTTCGGGATTGTATCGTATTAAATTTTACTAGTTGTGTTTTTTCTGGATTTAATTTTAGTCCGTTTATTTCAAACCACCTTCTAAGATCCATTAAAGCGTCTTCTACTTTCACCCATAAATCATCCTCCGTTTTAGCTTTAACAACAGCAGTTGTGTCATCTGCATACAGTATTAAATTATGAGAAATATTTTCAGGTAAGTCGTTTATATAAATTAAGAAAAGAAGAGGACCTAAAATAGAGCCCTGTGGGACACCTACTCTAATTTCACTCCATTCAGATTTTGACTGCAAGCCTCCTTTTAAAATAACAGTTCTTTGAAATCTACCTGTTATATAAGATTTCAACCATAAAATAGATTTCTTAGAAAATCCATAAATTTCCAGTTTTTTCAAAAGAATGTCATGGTTGACACAATCAAAAGCCTTGGATAAATCACAAAACACCCCCATTGTACTCTGTGACTCATCCAAGGCCCATGACACTTCATTAACAAAATGGGATATAGCGGTCATTGTGCTGCAACCCTTTCTAAAACCAAACTGTTTACTACTAAATATATTGTATGTTTCCAAGAAATTATAAATTTGTTTATAAGCAATTTTTTCAAAAATCTTGGAAAAAGAAGGTAAAAGTGATACAGGCCTATAATTGTCAGGATTATGCTTTTCACCTTTCTTAAAAAGTGGCTTGAGTTCTCCATATTTAAATTGTTTAGGGAATATGTTGTTTTGAAATGATTGGTTGATAATAATTGTGAGAGGTTCTGAAATAGAGTCTATGACTTTTTTCATGAGATCCACCGAAATTTCATCCCATCCCGCAGATTTTTTATTTTTAAGTGATTTGATTACTTTGACTACATCTTTTTGCTCAATGGCTTTAAAATCAAAATTAAATAGTTGTTTACTAGTCATTAAGTTCCTTCGTTCCTTGTCATATTTAGTGCCTCAAATTCACATGGTGATGTTCCCATTTCCTTGGTTATATTGGTAAATTTTTTATTAAAGAATTCAGCTATTTCTTTTACGCCGCTAATGGTTTTATTTGAGAGTTTAATATCAGGAAAACTATTCTTGACTTTTTTACAACCTAGCTCTGATTTAACAACACACCACGCAGCCTTGCTCACATTTTCTGATTTGTTTATGAATTTAGCATTGCACATCCTTTTAGATTGATTACAAACTTTCTTGAAAATTGTTTTATACTTTCTAACATAATCCTTAAAGAGTCCGTCGTTTGATTTTTTTGCCAGTTTACTTAGTTCTCGTTTATTTATACTAGATATTTGAATACCCTTTGTTACCCAAGACTTCTTTTGATTCTTATTTTTGTTGTTGTAAAACTTTAAGGGAAAAGACTCTTCAAAAGTATTGTGAAAATGACACAAGGTATTGTTTTGAGGAGACTCTGCCTAAGTGTGTTTTGTGTCCCAAACAAAGTTTGTACTTGAAATTTCCTAGCAACCCTTCTGATTTTTCTGATAACGGTTGCTTTTATGGGATTGACAAGTGGACTAACTTTTTCTTGCGGTTTTATAAAAGTCCACGCGTAGCCTTAACTTTCTTGCATTTATTTATTATGCAATAGATAATCCCTATAAAAGTTGATCTCGATTTTAAATAACTTTGGTTTCTAAAGTATGAAAATGTAATAGGCCTAGTTAATTTTTCTTGGTTCAGTTCTGGCCCAAGACCTGTAAGATCTGACCTGTAAGATGTGTCATAATTTACTAAAGCATATTGTGCTTCAGTTTCCAACTGTGTCAGCGTTCATCAACGTTCATCAATGATCATCAACGTTACATAGTCTGTTTGTTGCAGCCAATGATACGTTGCTCTCTCATATGATCACTTTTCTCAATGATAAGAATGACAAGCAGCTGCGGATGTCATTTTTCAAGTGCATCGTTGGAGTAGCTACCTACATAGGAGTACACTGCTCACCAATTCTCTCTCCTCTTCTGCAACAGGTACAGTAGACCCTCTCTAATCCGGCACTGCAGCACTCCGGCACTCCAGTATTCCGGCGTCTTTTGACGGGTGAGGTCTACTGTGATAGCGGCCAAATTCTGATTATCTCCCGCGGCCGTGTAGACATCATCATCCACTCCCACGGTCTCTGAAACGTCATCGTCGTCACGTGCGATTGCGGCAAAATCATGAACATCTCCCGCGGCCGTATAGACATCATCGTTGTCTTCCATGATCGCGGCACAAATCTAATCATCTCCGGCGGCTGTGTAAACCTCATCATCCACTCCCGTTGTCACGGAAATGTCATCGTCGTTTTGCGCGATCGCGGCAAAATCATGAACTTCTCTTGTGATCATGTAGACATTATCATCTCCCACGATCCGGAAACGTCATCGTCATCATGCGCGATCGCGGCAAAATTCTGATCATCGCCCGCGGATGTCTAGACGTTATCATCGCCTCCTGCGGTCACGGAAAGACTTCTTCAAACTCCTTCAAAACATGCTGACCAAAACATTTTCATTTTAAAATACTTTTTTAAGTGGAAATTGGAAGGGTTGAATATTAAAATATTTGTTTGGATTTTTAATTGTACTATTTAATATTTAGCTTTAAATACTATATTGACAAGTGTCATGTCATTTTAGGATGTAATGACATTCTCTAAATAAAAAAAAACAAAACGATAAAATGCAAAGACCAATGTTTAATCAAGAAATGCCAAACCTTTTATAAGGCTTATACAGTGTTAATTGAATGTGTTGCCTTGAACATTGAGAGAATAAATAACAAAAATTAATAAATCAGGAGGATAAGAAAAGAAATCTAATAACTTAGAGATAAATATCAAATACGGTTTCCTGGCTGTAAACCCTCTTGAGAATACAGTATAAATATCCTACCTCGGAATAACCGACTCCTCGGGATATCTAACCGTTTACTTGTTTCCTGTCTGGGGCTATAACGCCGAGCGGGAACGGTTAACTGAAAGGCCGATCGCAGCAGACAATCAACACTGCTGCCGATAACGGGTGTTGCTGCCATCGTGGGAGACGATTACCAAAGGTCCGGAGGCTGCAAGCTATGCTCACGGCTGTTGCCACGGCTGCAGGAGACGATCACCGATGTCGCAAAGACTATAGGTTATGCTCCTCCCGATATCCGACCTTTTGGCCTTTCCGACCATGGCCCGATCCCGTCATGGTCGGATATGAGGGGTTCTACTGTAGTGAAGAAACTTGTAGACTCAAGAGAATCCATACAATTGACCTTCCAAATGGTTTTGTTCAAATTAAATTGTCAGACTGCACACTCTTCAAGTCATTGGGAACGTGCTGATTGTTCTAATGTTCTAGGGACTAACTGATCCTGAGGAGTTTGTTGTAAGAGAAGCCATCAACACCATGTCAGCCCTGACTGAGCTGAGTCTGTTACACAAGCCTACATTGTACGATCTGTTGGCAGAGACTGCCTGCTTCTTAGTACATCCTAGCCTGTGGATCAGACAGGTCAATATTCTCTGTCTACACTGTAAGATTAAAATACTCTTACATAACTCACAAGATCAATTTTAACCATCAGAATTTTGCAACTAAGTACTTTTTCGTCTAGAATACAATCTTGTGTTGATTGTGTTCAGCTGAGTTAAATAAATTTTTTAGTACACAAGATAACTGGACTTTAGTAAAGAAAGATTCTCTAATCTCTTATACTGACATCGTAAAATAACCAGGTTGACTTTTTCATTCAACTTTACTTAAATTAAAAATATTTGTTACAACTTTATTCAGAGATGACTTGGGATAGCAAGTAGCCTATTGATGATATTTAGTTGAAGTACTGACTAGTCTGATAACATCCTTTGCCTACGGGAAAACTATTAGGTAAAAATACTTTAAAACATGGGGCTGTGGCCTTCTTATCTATATCTCCTAGAATAATTTATAGTGGTTTGTTTCAGGCAATCGTTGGTTTCATCAAAGCACTCGCTAAGACATTAAACATCGTGGATGTCCAGTGTAAAGTGATGTCAATGATCCAGCCATTCCTTAAAACCCAAGTTATTCAACTGGATAAAGAGGTCAGTCAATTCATACCATAGTAGTCATACTCCGTTCACATAATTTAGGGAGGAAAGCTATCCCCTCCACTTGATTCTACCTTAAAATAATGCTCAACTGCTAATGTGTGTCAAATTGTCAATCAGCTGAAACATACATTAACCAAAAAAAGTGGTGGGGAACTTCCCCTCAAACCCGATTAATTTTGTGAACAAACTATAGTAGATTTTATTTGAATACAAAAACATTCTTTAAACTAAGACAGTATTATCTTTTACTCATTATCATCTGGTCCTTATCTGTTATGTGTTTGTGTCCCAGCCACTTAACCTGCTGTTTTTCACTATTGCTTGTATTGAGATCCACTTGCAACTCACAATGCTCATGATTCTTCGTATGACATCATCTTGCCACTATCTTTAGTTGGTCCAAACAACCTACACGATATTTATCAATAATACTGTCAGTCTCTTAGGTTTTCCAACGGCCATGAAAATCTTGAAAGGAGTGAATTATGCATGAATTTGTGTGACTGAAAAAGTGTTTAAATTATGCGTCATCCAATGGACTATGAATTTTCTTAATTGTTAACGATTGATGGCAAGGCCATCGAGAAAACCTCCTTTGGTCATGGGATGTCATCTTCTCCCTTGTTCATGATGCCATCATGAACATGTCATGTGATCACGGTAAAACCTTGATCATCTCCAGCGGTCATGGTTTATCATCAATGTTGGCACATTAACATACGGCCACCTCTGCCTAATCATAACAGTTACAGTTAGTTCGTGGAACCATTGAATTATAACAGTTACAGTTAGTTCGTGGAACCATTGTGAACATCTCCCGCATTCACGAACATTTTCCCCGATCAAGGTGACATCATCATCGTCTCCTGCGATCGAGATGCCAGCATAATATCTCCCGTGGTTACAGAATCATTATCAACTTCTCTTAAATTTGTGGAACTGCCAAACTGGCGATATCTCCTGCGATCGGTGGGGAGTTATTATCGTCATTCGCCACCTGAGAAAACGCTGATGGTTGGAACAAATCCTCTGTCGTTTCTCATTTATTTTTGTGTGTTAAGACTTCTGTACCATACTGGATTACTGAACACTAGCAATGTATCAAAACAAAAACTCAAATCTTAGGAACTTTGGAAAATAGATCTGCGGAAATCAATGATATCATCAGTCAAATCTGATTCTAGATGTCTGTTGTCAAGTAAATATATACCGGTAGCTAAAATACAGACTGCAATACATCTTCCAACTTTACACAGAGTTAAACAGTAGCAGTTTTTACACCAAGATATTTAAAAGTGTCTCACTATAAAATAATGTTAAGTAATAGAAACGTTTCAGGTGCTTGTGCTGAGTGCTCTCCAGCCACCAGTGCCTAGACTGGTATACGATGTTGTTATTCACTGCCAAGATGTTGATCTGTTCTTACAAACCCTGGCTGAGCGACAGAAGGCCCGCAAACTCAGCTCCCATCCCACACTACCCTCCCTCTCCTCAAAGCAGAACAACGCCATTCGAACAGTAAGGTTACTCTTAACTATTTCTTCTAAGATGATTTGTAACCAACGATTTCAATAGAAAACTTTCATTCTTCTTTTAGTTCATTAAATTATTAGGTTGTTTTTGCTGGTAACACACAATAAAGTTAGGATGGGTGGGTGTTCTGTTTTTATATTAGACTGGGAACAATTTCATATTCCTCTCAAAATTTTGGAAATATAAAGAAATAATAATTTTTTTGCCATTAGCAGTAGCACACATCATGTTGTTTGTCGGAAGAAATTTTATAATTTTTTGAAGAAAAGGCTTGTAGTGTTTACTTTAAATACTTCTTAAATTGTATAAAAGAATGATGGCATACAAAAAGATAATGGTTTGTTTTGCCCAAAACTCGAAATAACTACATGTGCTTACAAGCTCAGAAGATATTAATCAGTAAAAATATAAAATACTCTAAAATAAAATCTTAATATTAAAAAAATAAGGAGACAATAAGCAGGTTTACCTTTATAAATGCATCCCACTTCTGATAGCAATGTGCAGAAGTGGGATGCCTACATTTCTAAAGGTAAGCCTGCTTATCCTATCCTTTGTCTCCTTAATTCTCAGGCAATAAGCCCTTTCTATTCAAACTTAATATTAGAAAAGAAATTCTGTAAGCTTATGTTTGTCTATTGTCATTTGATGACTCCCAATTATATCAATTTGAATACCTTATAAAGTAACACAATATTTAAATTAGTGTTTTTTTAGTTTTATCAGAAAAACAGTTGTTTGTCTGCAGTGTTAACTATACTATAACATGTTTTACGCATCATATATATTTGCTGGTTGCAGCTGTTCAGTCGTCTGACCTCTGAAGGAATGACGGAGCAAGTCGAGGACCAGCTGCTGTCCATGGCCAAACACTTGCTCAAGATCCACAAATATACAAACAGCATGGAAACCAGTCCACCGAGAGAGTCAAAGGTGATAGAAACATTTTTTTTTTTACATTTACCTGACAAAGTGGCCTTCCTTGCACCGGTTATAGTACGCCAAGTAGCTAACTGCTTCATTTACTTACTTTTGTCCCACTCATTTTTTCCCCGCACTCCAGTATTCCAACCAAACAACACAAAACAATGTGCTTTTATTAGGCACGTAATATGTGTACGCTTGATAATAAGTTGGCAACACTTAAAGATACTACGACTACGATTAGCTGGTGCAGTGTTTCCCATTTCTTTCAACGCTTGGATTTAACCTTACCTAAATCGTGTTGAATAGTGTTTGGAAGACTGTTTGGAAGTGCCACTTACACTAGTTACACAAATAACTATTCCCTACCACTGCATGGAAATGATCACATAGCCATACCTGTAAACAGTACACAAAATAGCTCATTACCGCTCTAGAGAGGGAATGGATCATTACCGCTCTAGAGAGGGAATGGATCATTACCGCTCTAGAGAGGGAATGAATCATTCCCCCTCGCTAAATCAGCTTATTTCACAGTTGGCGTTTCTACACCAATCACAGCCATGTATCCGGAACGTTAGTTAACAACTATTAAGCAAATAACATAACCTAAATTACATTTTATATACATTTAACCCTTTGAGTGCCTCAAGGGGGTGAAACAATTTTATTTGAGGTTTGCCAGGCCTACATGTGGTGTTGCTTCTAGGAATGCCGACCATTTTTCCACATAAATGCAGGTGTTTAGGAATATTGTCATAAAATAATTTGTGACGCAAAATTCTAGGGGGGGAATAAACTGGTATTCACCTAGGTCAGGCTAGGCCTACCCCTAGAACCAGCCACACTCAAATTTCTTCCCCGGAGTGCTCAGAAGGAGCCGAGAAAAATCTGGGGGTCGATACGAAGTTGTCACGGCTTTGACTGATCAATTTATTAAAATTTGATCGAAGGCTCAGAGCTCGAGAAGCGCTCAGGAAATCCTGCAGATTCCCAGTTGGAGCTAGATCATCCCAGCCTTCGTAAAAGTGTTTTGAAGAATTTTGCCTAACTTTTAGAATGACTCTGTAGAGCCGACGAGTATCCAATCATAAGCCAATTTGACATAAATACCCGTATTGAACTTTAAAATAATTAACTAAAGGCCTAGGTAAACAATATAGAACAAAATATAACGTAAAATCAATTCCTACAGAGTCGTTGGGGCCTAATTAATATAATTGGACGGAGAATTTAGCGTGATATGATTTGAAATAAATTTAATATTAATATTCGTGGCTGATTGTTCAAATCAGCCTACTCCCAAGACTAGGTTCTCTCGCCCGCCAAAGACGGGGTTTAGAACTCAGACGACAAGTCTCGGGGGATTAAAACGGTGAATTAATTAGGTAACGTAATAATCATTCGTAGGAATCGTAATTTTGAAACTAATTGATTTAAATCAAACCAAACGATAATCACTGCTAGTCACTGGCAGGCAGGAACTGGTGGGTCTAGAATCAAGTCGGCGAAATTTAAGTTATTAAATTCAGAGGTTTAAAATCGAGTTCTGAAACGAAAATAGTTGTAAAACGAGAATGCGTGCGTTAAACGAAAATAAAGTAAAACGTAGAAATGGTCTAACTATTAGACCAAGCTAACCTTCGTAATATCGGCGATCGGCGTGAATGCATAATTTATTAGTCTTGTAACGATGATGTTACTTCGTAGACGGCGTGCGAACGAATAATCCTGTCGTTTATAACTTATAATGGAGATATTGGCAATGAATAATGAAATGTATAACTAAATTTAAAAGTTCAAAAAAGCCAATATATAATAAATTATTTTAATCCACTAAATTATTTTAATCCACTATAGTGGATTAAAATAATTTATTATATATTGGCTTTTTTGAACTTTTAAATTTAGTTATACATTTCATTATTATGTTTATAATTCAAATTACTTTTAGAATACTACTATACACCATGCACAAAATATACAAATGGTCAAAATAAAATCATGCACCTATAGGCCTGACTTACCAAGTCCAGTTACTGGTACACTTTATGTGATTAGCCACAAACTATCAACAAATGCACAAATAAGTTGTGGTATTACAACTTTTTAAAGGTTTTTTCATAATTTTGGTCTTAAATTAAAGGTATGCACGCACGGTTTTGCCATCAATCATCATCATTAGTTTATCTACTGTATTACTTGACCAAAAAACATCAATTAGATTGTTTTCAAATTCTTTCTTAATTAATTATGTATTTCACCAGTTCTAATTACATCCTCCTACATGTTTTGGTCATAGAACAAACTTTCAATGAAATACCAGCTTTAATTTTAACTATTGATTATTAAGATTGGGCGTACCTAAAACACGCTGCTGAATCACGAATCAACAATTATTATAATTTATTTTTGATGTCTTGGTCTTAAAATACTTAAAAAATAAAGGCTTTCATTTATTAATCGTTTGAATCAGTTAAGTTCAAGATACTGTATTACCTAATCAAAAAACCTATTTTATTACCATTATTGTGAATTTTATTTCAACTCAGACAACGCCGGGTTTTGCTGCTAGTTTCAATTAAAAGTTCTAAGTATACTATTAGGATTTTTTTAAGAGGATAGCAGGCTTACCTGAATGGGAAAGAGTCGAAACTGGCACAGGAACAGTTGGACTGTGTCAGTTTGGACTCTTTCCCATTTAGGTAAGCCTGCTATCCTCTCAAAAAATCCTAAAAAATCTAGGCCCTTGTGCTCTATGCTACACCCTTAAGTATACTATTATATCGACAGAGCCTGAATATTATGACGTAAACACAATTAGGATGGTAAAAAAAATCTTATTTTGTAATTATTATCACCATAACTTAAAGATGATTCTCGACTTCGTCCTCCCCCCCCCCCCCCCGCAGCATTCGAATCTATCCGTATTTTGTTTTGAATTATCTACTTTTCTGTAAGTATAGAATAACATTTTTCCCCTGAAATCCGAAAGATTAAATATCAATTCGGAACTAAAAAAAACTTTCTGTTCTGAAATCTGAAAGTAGTGATCAGACTCGTCAGAAATTCTTGACATTGAAGTTATAATTTAATCCCATAAAATGGATATCAGGTGAATACAACCTGTTTCAGTGAACTTAGTTTTTAAGGATTCCCCTTAAAAATATTTTGTCTGTAATACACACTAGGATTCAGTAAATATCTGTCAATTCTTAATTGTTATTTACAGATTGACCTGAGCAGCCACAGGAACACAGTAGCGTGTCAGGCCATTCCTCTCAGTCGCTCTGATCAGCCCAAGTCCGACAACTCTGTTACTATTTCAAGGTAAAACTAATTACATTCCAAAATTCAATTAAAAATGTTATTGTTACTGTATAAAAGTTAATAATTCATACAAGTTATAAATTGTCTGGATGGCGAGTGGAGTGCTCGTCTTAATAATCTGAAAGCAGCTGGTTTGATTCCAAGTGGGGGATCGATTCTGGATCTAGATGCCATTTGTCATTGGGCTAACAATAAATTATGCTTTCTAACAAATGGTTTATTTCGCATAGTAACAAGACTGGGTTTGTTTACTGTTCCCTTACAAAAATCGTAAAAATACCAATAGCATAAAAAAGACCTAAAAAGCATTTATATTTCATCCTTACTCAAGAGCATAACTGCAGACTAGATTAATTGAAGGTAGTTAAAAATGAGGTGAACATGTTTAAATGGCCATTTTAAATTAGTGTAAATACCATTACCAATCCGTCTGAGCTATGGAGTGGTTGTGTGCGTAGGCGAGGGGTAGATGACTACACTAACCTCAGTGTGATGATGAACGAAGAGTGGAGAACTATGTTTGGCAATACGGAACCACCCTCCAGCTCCAAGCTCTCAGACATTGGCAACAAAACGTAAATATCCCTTGCTGTTGCTGTCACTAACACATTCTTTGTCATATTCACCTATAGCTATTAAAAACAAGCTAATTCCATACTTTGCTACACTACTTAAATATTAGAGGTCTTTGTTTGATGTTCGAAATGTTGCTCAACTTCATCCACTCTTTTTTTAATGTTCTTTTGTCAGCTAGTAGTTATAGTACCAGTACCTCATTATACCTTAGTAAAGTTAAAATTAAATAAATTATCCACCCAGCATTCGTTATATTATAATTAGTTTCTCCCAGCTAAGATGTAGGCTTTGTTTGGTTTTACCATCCCCTTTTATTCATGTAATCTCTAATTCAAGGAATCTCATTGCACGCTTGATGAGTTTTCTGGTGAATTAACTGCATGTTTAGTTTATCTAAAGGCCTCCAGATGTTATTTAACATATTGTTAGACTTTGTTTACACCTAGTTCTTCATGTTATCATGTTCTTTTTTAAAATGTTAAAACCTATAAAATCCTGAATAATTACTTTGTTGGGTTTTAATTAATTAGTATTACATCATTTTATACTCATTCAAATCAGTCCATTTCCAACTCAGTTTTACTCTTCATCGTACTTTATTAAGAAATAATACAAGGACTTTACAAGCGTGAAGTTTTTTTACTGTACCAGCTTAAATCTTTTTGTTCTAAACTTTGGAAGTGTTTGTCAACAATATTTGAAAAACATTTTCTGTAAGTATTCATCCCAACATGAGACATCATATCTGAAGACAAATTGAGTTCACTCACCAATCATACTTCTCATCTCATCTTTGAACACATATCTGAAACCACAACCTATGATGAGGAGATTGACGTTTTCTATGATATATACATGAAACCAACAAGTAATATATTTACTAGGTATTAACTGGCTAGTAGGAGGCAAAAACAAGGTTAAAATTTGCTATCTTGAAATGATAAATGTCTTTATTAAAGAGGCGGAGTAAAGACCCTTGAGGACTTGCCAGTGCTAAGTTGGCCCAGCTCTGTCAGAGGTTTCTTGATCTGTGACAATATTTGGTTCCAGCCTGGCATCCATTCGTGCATGAAAGGTGACAAAATATTATTAAGCTTCCATTTTCCCTCACTATTTGTCCATTATCCATAAACATGTGTGTTATTCAAAAATCTATGTTAATTTAAAGATAAATTAAATTTTCTCTGTTTAATTAAAAACTTGGACAGTTAAGTTATGTGTGTTTGCCAGGAACACCAACAACGTGGTGTCCAGTGATAGTCAGGTGTCTCCCCAGCGCAGCATGGACACAGAGTACAGCATCCAGGAGCGCTCCTACATACAGTGTAAGCTTATCTCACCACATAGCTATGTAATGGAGTAAACCCAGCAAGTTCAAAGAAATTCATATTTTTCGGCTGCAGGGTGAAAATCTACTCACCACACAGTCAATAATTAGGTTGGGGTTAAAATTTGATTTTGTTGTTTTTCCACTTCTATCTGATGGTTCTAGTTTTATGATTTATGTAATTGTTGTGGCGTATATATATGTCCAACACTCCCTAAAGAATGCATTATCCGTATGTATACATCTAACCATTGTAAATTTTAAAGTTTAAGAAAAACATCTTGTATATTAAAAAAACTTAATTTTTCTTTTCCGACTACGTTTGGCTCTTCTACCCGACCGATTTTCATGATTGAGGTCTCAAATTTAAGTCAAGCACGCAAAAATTTCACATCAAGCATCGGCATATACTTACTTACCTACTGTATTTCTCGATTTAAAAAAAAATTGAATTATTTTAGAATTCTTGCATCTATTTAAGATGTATTTCACCATTTATAATTATATAATCCTATATATTTTGTTCTAAGAGCTTTCAGTGAAATATCGGCTTTTATTTAAGCGATTAAGATACTGTATTACTCAATCAAAAATTATAAATTTGATTTTTCCTTGGATATAATATTTATTTTAACGCTGCGGAGCAGCATGGGTCCTCTAGTTTATTTTTAATAAACTTTTAAAAAGGTTAATGAATTTTTAAAAATCTTGTTAAGATCAATATGACTTCTTTATTATTTCATACTTAGCTTAAAATACCTACATTCGTATGGTGGTCATTTCAAAGTAAAGTATTATTACCAAAAGATAAAACAGACTTATCTTATCATAATGCAATAAAAAATATTGTTTTAGATCATTCAATCTATACGTCGTTTTCAATAGCAGTGAATATACTCCACTAATCTTGTCTTACTAAATTTACTTCATTCAAGAACACGTAAACAGACTGTCTGCGCTAACAATAACATGAGAATGACTCAGCCGGCCGGTTTTGTCAACAACAGATGTTAACGTGATTAGTGATGCCAACCCACCAATCAGAAATTTACCACAAAAAAATTATAGCAGCAATAATATTGATTAATTGCGTCAAGGGTTAAAAAAATATTTAACATATAAAAACAGGACGGACACACAACAATACACATTAACATTTAGAGTTCGCGCACAGCTTAAAAACTCACGACCTGCCAAGGTAACTGTTGACGGCCAAGAAACAACATTAAAATACCTGAATGACATTTACATGTTTTGACTTATACAGAGTGTCTCGTAAGTAAACAGCCAAACTCCGGGAAATGGTTCTATGGGTCAAAATAAAGAGAAAATCAGGAATAACATTTTTGTCCAAAATCGCTTCCTTAACCAGATATCCGCCATTTTGTATTTTTTACATAAAAAATTTTATTTTTGAATTTTTTCAACTGACCTTTATAATTCTTGGTATGTAGGTTAAGGTAGAAAATACCATTGTTAGTAAAAAAAATCATTTTGATTCAACTCAAAATTTCAAAATGGCGGCTATTTGAATTTTTTAAACTTAAAATTACCCAAAAAGGGCTAATTTTTTGAAAAAACGTCAAGAACACTTTTATTTAGCTTTTTTAATTCCTTATCAAACGATACCAAGTTAAAAAAGGTAGAATAAGGCAGAAGCTAGTCAGGTTTGTCCCATTTTACAACAAAAAATCTTAATATTTCAGCTATTTCTTATTCGATCTTTTTTAACTTTTTTTTATAGGGAATTAAAAAAGCTAAATTTTTTGAAGAAGTTGTAAAAGTCTTCTTGACATGTTTTCATAAAATTAGCCGTTTTTGAGTACCACATAATTTAAGTTAAAAAAATTAAAATAGTCGCCATTTTGAAATTTGGGGTTGAATCAAAATGAATTTTTTTACTAACATTGGCCTTTTATACCTTAACCTTCATACCAAGTTTTATAAAGGTCGGTTGAAAAAATTCAAAAATAAAAATGTTTATGTAAAAAATACAAAATGGCGGATACCTGCTTAAGGAAGCAATTTTGGAAAAAATGTTATTCTTGATTTTCTCTTTATTTTGACCCATAGAACCATTTACCGGAGTTTAGCTATGCGTTGTACGCTTGTGACCTTCAGATTGAGCTGCTTGTATATACGTTCAAGGCTCGCAACTGAATATATACAGCCAACGCTCAGAAAGAGTTAAATTCATTTAGGCCTATACATCTTTGCCTTGTTTAAATTAGAACATGTGAGTGTACTGTGTTTACTTTAACAACTTACAGGACGTGTTCTATGTTTTCACATTCCATGTTAGGGGGCAGTTTAAAGAATATAAATATGCTATTGACGTTTAATGTAATTTAATGAGTGTCGACTGTCCATAGAATATACAGGAAAGCTAAGATGAGGAAATGTTACAGTACTTAAACGTAAAAGTCACAGGTTTTGGAGTCTTTAGGAAGCACTATCATTAATGAAAAACCTTAGATGTGTTAGACTTAAGGAGGTTTTTACACTTCCTGCAACGGACTTGGAAAAATCCAAACATTTTCTCTGGGCTTACGAGGTCCAAGTTGTGTGAAAATGAATCGCGTGTGTGATAGTTTTAATGTTTGGAAATGAAAAAATTTTAAAGCGTGCGGATCGGTTTGAATACGCCTACTGTTATTACATTGAATTCTCTTTGGCAATCGGCTATTCTATTTGTTCTTGCTCATGATCGCACCGAATATTTACGTCGCAGCTTTAGTTTATGTAATGCATGACATTTTTGTAGCGTTACTATGATATAATATTATTCTCTTTTGTTATTTTTTATACCATATGACTTGTTCATTTAATTATTTAATATTCTGTTTGTAAACAATAAAAAACTAACTAGTTCATTGTGTGATGTATAGTTTTCAACATAATCTGCTTTATTATGACAGTTATAGTTTCCAGAACGGAGAATTTGTCTGTAGAAAATAAAATTGTTGACTTTCTATAGAAATGTTTTCTGCAAAGAAAAACAATTTTTATCAACTTGTTATATAGCATTTTTTGCAGAAACTTATGTGGCTCTAGCTTTGCATGTAAAAAGAATGATAAAAAAATAAATAAATAACAAATAAAAAAAAATTATAAAAACAGCCAGTTGGGCAGGCTGGGTTTTCTGCACCCCTCGCCATCTTTCACACTGTCGCCCGTAGTTCTTCTTTGGGGTAAGTTTTGTAAGGGAAAAACATAAATAAAAAAGTGTTCATACTAACAAGCTATTTAGTGATACCTACACTATTTTAGATATAGAGGAGTGCTTGACCTCCTTGTTTCTGCTGAGATAGGTAATGAGTGTGAATGTTACAGATCGATATGCTCCATGTAAGCTGGAGCTGCGACGGCTGGTCTCGCGTAGACAAGAGTTGCATGCAGCAGCTACAAGAGCCAAAGACTGGGCAGAACACGAGGCTTGGATCCCTCCCCTCCCCCCTCCTGGCTGGAGACTGCGGGGCTCCTTGGTGGCACATCTACACGAACACAAAGCTGCGGTCAACAGGTATAAACAAACATAAAGCTTTAGTTAACAGATATGATGCTTTCTAGTGATTTGACGTTAAACACATTTTGGCACATATGACATTTTAGTGTCTGTCAAAATGAATCTGTTAGAAAATTTAAACACAATTTCTTGTTTTAAACACCAATCTTGTGTAAAGATAGTCTTTACAATATTAATTAAGTAAATAAATCCATGCATAAATAAATATCTATCTATCTATGCTATATAAAAGTTGGATGAAGTAGATATTGTTGTAGTATTGTTGATAACATATTTGCTAGGCTGGTTCCTGTGACGGAGACTCCACTGTTTGCAAGTTGTTCCTCCGATGGCTGCATCCGCATTTGGGACTGTGCCAAGATGGAGGGTAGAAATATCGCCAACAGATCTCGCCAGGTATGTTGTTTATTCATGTGAAATAGCTCATTTTGATTAGGAATGGACAGGTCCTGAAACGTTGATACATTTTTAGGAAAACATGTTTCCCATCTTTATGCAGGAAAACATTTTATTCTGGCTTTCCTCAGGGCCGAATTATTCCAACTGTCAGCAATTTTTCATAGTCTTCAGTGATGATGATGTTTCTGTGATCATGAAAGATGTTGATAATTTGGCCGCTTTGGTAGTTGGTGATACAGTAGACCCCCTCTTAACCGACCCTAATGGGACTGGACCTAGGTCGGATAACTCAAAAGGCCGGTTAAAACGGGCAATCCCTAAAATCATAACATAATGAAGTGCTATTTATTTGGAATTATATAATCATTATTTTGAAGTCATACTTGCAATATTTATAAAATAAACTACTCTTATCTCCTTTTTCGTATTGATAGAAAAGTCAAAATAAACACAAAACACGACTAAGCCAAATAGGCCTACTTTCAGTGGAATATATTTTAGGACTAGGCTAAAGTCAATAAAAATTCCTATTTTAATAACTTTACTACTGTAATGTATTAATTGATGCTTTCCAAATCCATTGTAATACATTACAGAACCTTTTGTCGAAATTAAAGATACAAGCAACCATTTTGTTACAAGACAGGATGTTTATTCATAGCCTCTCACTGGAGGCTCGAGGCACAAAAACTAGGAGTTGTTAACCCCCCTTCCCTTCCCTCCCTACAAGTTGCATTGTTTGTTTACTCCAGCGATAAGATAACCAGTTCTCAAAATCGTAACGCACTTTACGATGTTATAAATTTTCTGCAAAGATAACAAACTGGCAATATGCTATATTTTTTGTGATCAATACAAAATAACTTATTCTTAGTAATATCCTGTGGAGATAAGTGTATGGTTCAGTTCTCATTGCCAAGCGTGGGAGCGGAAATGCTGAGATTCCTAGAAAGCGGCGGTTAAACCGAACTGCTCTCAAATCAAGGTCGGTTAAAGCAAACTGTATTATTTTAGGAGCGAAGGCAGATAATCCGATTATCGGTTAATACGAGGTCGGTTAAGAGGGGGTGTTCTGTAATGATGTTCCTGTGATGGCGCAAGATAGTAACAATAGGGTCTCAATTGCAAATTGATGTAGTTTGTCATTTGAAATAATTTTTCCTAAGTTTTTTAAACTTTCTCATGTTTTCTCCATAATAAATATATTCCCTAGTCTCTCCCAACTGAATGGTTAGAATAGATGTTCTTTTGTATTTTTATGTTGGAATAATATTTATTATTGTAGTAAAAAATTCATTTTGCAAGTAAAAAACAATGATACGTAGCCAAGGTTATTTTTATAGTTCAAGAAATTAATTAATTACTGTATTACAGTAAAACGCCGATTATCCGAACGCCGATTAACCGAATCGCCAATTATCCGAATCGGCTCCAAGCTTAATATTAAAAATTAAAACTAAGTGCAAAAATTTGACCGACTGCCGCGTAGACACAATGACGTCGCCACCCCGCGCGGCGGTGTAGTGAATTGACATCGAGACAGCGTTTAGATGCGCAGAATGTACAGCGCATGCACCTGCAGCCACTCCCCCTACCCAATGACACGCGAACTATCGATTTTTGGCGGATTCTAGGTCAGTTAGCTCCTCCCTCTTCTATTGTGCGGATCGCTGATTTTTTATAGAGTTGTGAGATTGTCAAACTTGTGATCTTCATTACTGTATGGTTACGTGTGTTAAATAACCAAGTAAAATGAGTGCAAAACGAAAACGTGTTGTCCTATCGCTAAAGAACAAAGTGGAAATAATCAACCAACTAAAAAAAGGAGTGGCGGGAAAGGTATTGGCGGAGAGATTTGGTGTCGGGGCGGCTACGATTACTGACATAAAAAATAACAGTGAAAAGATTTTAAGTTTTGTGACTACGTTGGAAAGTGATGATGGATGTTCGTCACGAAAAGTGATGAAAAAGGCTAAAGATGAACAGCTGGAAAATGCAGTTTTTACTTGGTTTTTGCAACAAAGATCTATTGGACAACCGATTTCAGGACCTATTTTGTGTGAAAAGGCGCGAATGTTCAGTGAAAAAATGGGTGTAGCTGATTTTAAGGCAAGCACGGGATGGATACGCAATTTCAAGAATCGGCACGGCATTCGAGAATTGGATATTGCCGGTGAAAAACTTTCTGCTGATAGTGAAGCTGCTAATAAATTTGTGGAGACATTTAAAAAAGAAACAGAAATGTACGACCCTGATCTTGTGTATAATGCTGACGAGACTGGTTTGAATTGGAAAGCTTTGCCAAGAAAAACCCTAGCATCTAAAAGAGAACAAAGTGCTCCCGGACACAAAGTCAGTAAAGATCGCGTCACTGTAATGGTCTGCGCTAACTCTACTGGTACCCATCGCCTTCCTTTATTATTGATCGGCAAAGCAAAGAAGCCACGGGCTTTTAAGAACGTAGCCAACTTACCAGTGACTTACACCAACCAGAAGAATGCTTGGATGGAGAGCACTATTTTTTTGGAGTGGTACGACAAAACCTTTATTCCTCAAGTGAAAAAATTTAAACAAGAAACAGGAAAAAAGGGAAAGGTTCTGCTTATCATGGACAATGCGCCGACGCATCCTTCACTAGATCTTCTCGTGAGAGAAAAGGGGAGATTTAAGTGTCTCTTTTTACCTCCTAACGTGACAAGTCTGCTCCAGCCCATGGATCAGGGTGTGATTGAGTGCACAAAACGTCTTTACAGACAACAGATGCTTCGTAAATTGCTCCTAGCTGAAGAGAACGACGAGGAACAAGTTTTGGATTCGTACAAAAAAATAAACTTAAAAGACTGTTGCTACATGATTGCAGACTCCTGGAACATGGTTAAAAGTGTTTCACTTAAACGGGCGTGGAACAAAATAAACGGTACGTCGACAAAAGAGCAACTCGAGTTTGAAAAGCAAGCTAAAGAACGAGAACTAACTGCTGAAGCTGCTGGCGTTGATGAAGACGAACCGGAATTGCCGTCAGTTGGGGAGTTAGTAAACATGGCTAAGGAGATTGCGGGTTGTTCGGAGTGTGATGTCGATGATATGGAAGAGTGGTTGGAATGTGATAGGAACGATCAAGGATACCAGATAATGACTGATGATGAAATCGCTGTGAGTGTCATGGATGAACAGGACAATGGAGATGAAAGCAATGAGACCGGGGGAGACGAAGATGCAGGAGACGAAAGTGTACCATCACATAGTGAGGCGTTCACGTGCTTTGACAACGCCTTCAAATGGATGGAGCGGCAACCAGAGTGCGACGGTGTACAGCTTCTTGCCGTCCGGCGCCTGCGTGATTTAGCTGCGCGGAAACGAGCTACAAGGTCACGGCAACTTACGCTGATCGAGATGTACAAGTAAGCGTTGTAAAAGAACTTTTTGTAAAGAACTTTATATTGTACTGTAGTTTTGTTTTTATAAATATCAGCATTTGTTTCTCTACTTGTACTTAAATTCAATTTAACATCTCTATTATGTCTTAGTTATCCACTCAATAAAGTTCATTCGTTGTGTAACACTTTGTGACCTCTGCATTTTGAGGTCCTCACGCATCCTCCCAGGGACAAAAGTTTGAAGCGTTTGCCTGTGAAATTCCTCAAAATTTCCCTTCTTGGACAGAACCAGGTTCAACAAATCAGAAAGTGGAGAACGACAATATGGGATCAACAAACTGAGAAGCAGTGAGTCATCAACACCCGGAATTTCCCTAATTCGGAACAAGTCTGCCAAAAATTTCAACAATCTGTGGACTTCCAATCCATCAACACAAGGCAGAGCCTGCAAAAGAGGCGTCAAAGGGTTGGGAAGCTTGTTGTACGAGGCAGAGGCCAAAGAGCCAGAACACTTGGCGATGGGCTCGGTTTGTTGATTTGGAGCGCACGGAATGGGAGAGCCAGGAGTTGGAGCTGGACCAACTTCGGTCGAAACCTCATTGCGACTGACCGGAGTAACCTCGGTCACCACATTCGGTTCTTCCGAAGTGCGTTGAGCCTTAGGGCCAAGGGCCGCTAACATCTCATCCAGACTACCAGAAACCTGTTTGAGCCAGGCAAGGTCGTCCCCCTTGAGTGAGCCTACGGTAGCCAACAGGCCAGCGCGTCCCCTCAAATGTCCAATGCGAGAAATCGCTCGGGACCTCGCTCTACCGGTCAAGGGCTCATCTTTCAGTTCTTCGACACGACCATCCCACTCCTCAAATTTTGACCTGCAAGCCTCCAACTCATCAGTGACCACTAAGGTGGGTGGCCACGATGTGACAAACTTGCTCGCTGTCAATCCTCGCAACTGTGTACGCAAAGAGCTCACATCAGTCGCAGGTTCAGCTCCCCTAGCCTTCACCTCAAACACAAGCTCGTCCTTGAGCAGAAACTCGGGAATCAAAGAGCTAGCCATTCTGACACCTAACACAAAGATTGACACTTTTCAGACACAACAATGCGACAAATAACAATCACTAACTTCCTAAGACCTCTAATTCACAGACGAGAACACAACCACGGGGCCAACAATCAAAATCAGCCTGCCACCAACAGGCCCAAAATCAGAAACATGAGACGACCACAAAAACAAATAAATAACTAACAGACAAAGAACAAATGAACCACTATGACTAAACACAAATGCCATGTCCTCCTAACCTCAACAAATCTCATTCGAAAAATTTACCAACTTTATTTACTGCGCTAAAAAAAAAAAAAATATATATATTTTTTTTTTCTACTACTTTAATCAACCTACCGCACAGTAAATTTGACCAACCACGCTCTGCTACCATTTGTGACCGAATTCCCAACTCCATTGATCAAAAGGGTGAAGCCCTTGGAAGCGCAAAATCAATGGTGGGATTCCGGTACAATATTGCTGAGGTGGAGGACCAACAATGACAACACAAGAGCTGGCTGGACACAAATATGAGTTTATTCATTTCAATAAATATATATAAATGCAACAATAATACATAACAATAATAAATAAACATTGCCCTAGCCAAGATATAATAATTAAAGCTTTAAAAATATTTTAAAATTTCTTTAGTTAAAAAAAAACAATTTAATTTAAAATGGAAATTCAAGTTAGGCCTAAATGACATTTAGTTGCAAAAACATTTAGTGTACTACCTCAAACAAATTTAAAACAAGTTAGCTTAGGTGGCCACCTTATAAAGAACATTTAAAACATTTAAAGGAAATTACTTTAGCCCTAGGCCTACATTTAAAATAAATAACTTTTACATTTACAAACATGAAAACATTTACACTATCAACAAATGTGGTCGCCTCGCAAAGACTATAAAATATATTCCAAAATATATTCCAAGCGGTAAAATAACCGTCAAGGGAGAAAAAAAAAGATTTTTACCCTCAATCAAGGGGTGTGAAACAGAATTAAAAGAATGGAATTTAAAAATTTGAATGAAAGTTAAAGTTAAATTAAATTTAGAGAATGAAAGCCTAATTAATAAAATTGCAGGTAAAAAGATTACAGGTTTTATTTTATAAGTTAAATGAAAACGTTGATGTGGAGTTAGATTTCTTCAGGTAGATGAGACTCTCCAAAAGGGCTGGACTGACCTGACCGTAAACCTTGTTGAAATCCAGGAAGCAGAAGTAGAAGTAGGGCCGAGTACAGGATGGCCGCTCCCCAGACATGGCAGCACGGCATTAGGCCGGAGTGGGCGTAGGCCTAGATGTGTAGGTAATTCCATCAGCAAGTGCCGCAGTGGCAGTGCGAGGACTGGCAGTGGCACGGCGCATCAGTCTCAGCGGTGCAGTCCAGGAGAATGCTCATGTTAAGTCAGTCAGCAACTAATGGTGGCAGGCTTCAGGTGGAGTCGCCAACCCTGATACAAAGTATAGATCACTGACCTGGCCTAATTAGGGCTAACATGTCTCAGAGTCCATATATTCAGGTTGCACTAGGCCTGAATAAATCAAAAGGGCGTAAAACATTCTCTTTACCTGCAGTCAGCGACCACATTTTTACAATAGCTGTTCTAGTGTCTAGCCTAACCAAACATGGTTTTCTAAAGAATAGTAACATGATCTCACATGAATAAAAGTGCATGAATGTGCTTGCTTACTATTCACAAGTTTGAGAACAAATGAAATGGAAAATTAAAAGGTTATTATCTTGGCTAGGCTACTGTAGTTGACCAGAGCAAAAATTTAGGCTAGCAAAAGCTACTAGCACAAACAAAAAAATATAACTAGCCTAGAAACTTTTAATGTGATTGGGTCCAGACCAGCTCACAGTTAAACACAAAAATTACACAAAAATGACTCAAAGTTACACAGACATGATGTTAACACTTTACTAACTTGGTCTTTTAACCTTAAACATGAAAATTGGCTCAACTTTTAATATCACATGTACTGAACAAGTTAACTCAACGAGGCATGCACATTGTGTTATCTAGTGGACTCGAAATTCTCAGAAAACAGTACAAAACACATCAAAATGACTCTATAAAACATTTCTGAACAATAGTGAAACAGTGAAAAATGAAACAAAATGAAATAAGCGAGGACTAGGCCTGGCGAATTCAACTTACCCGTGGTATGAAAACTCTACTCGCAGAAATGCTCCATTCCGAGCAGTTGCGAAACGATCTATGAAACTAAAAACTTCAGGGTTCACAAAAGAAAACTCTTCCGGAAGAAAACCCCGTAGCCTTGGAACAATCTCAAACCCAAAGTCTGAGAAACGGGAGCCACAAAATGTCAGCCGATGAACGTCCAGCAGAACGCAGCCAGTAGTACCAACCACACAACAAATTAAACAGTGCCGTTGAGCATTGAGCACATACACACGGCACAACTTTGTTTTTCTTTATTACCATTCTGTGTCTGATTATCCGAATTTTTGATTATCCGAATCGACCCCGGTCCCAATTAATTCGGATAATCGGCGTTTTACTGTACTCTGCCAAGTAATGTAACTTTACATCAAATTGAAAAGTTTATGGGCCCAGAGAGCTCAGTCCCAGTAATTGCCTTATTTATTGATCAAGTTTAAAAGACTAGACTTACAAAATTTCAAGTAGTGAAAATGTGTCTGTTTTACCTCAATTAAAGGAGGGGACTAATTTTGCCAATTGGAAGTTCAGACTAAAATTAGTCCTTGAGGAGAAAGGAGTTGCTGATTGATATTCTTGAAAATCAAGTAACATAAGAAAATAAGGCAAAAGATACAAGAGCCAGATCATTCATTGTACAGTGGTTATCAGACAAATACCTAGAATATGTAAAAAATGCAAAAACTGCTAAGGAAATTATATTTTGTTTTAAAAATGTCTTTGAACAAAAAAGTACTTTTAATAAGTTGTACCTCAGAAAATAATTTTGTTAAATCTAAAGTGTAAAAGTTATGATAAACTACAAGATCATTTCATTTTCTAAAAATTTGATGCTTTAATTAATCAACTTGAATCTTAAGGGTCAAAAATTGAAGAAAGTGATAAAGTTTGCCATTTTTTACTGTTTTTTTTTTTTTTGGTCTGTTTTTTTTTATATAAAATAAGATTCCCACGCATTAAGATGTTGAGGTTTTATCATTTGTTTTAAAATTTTAAGGTTTCCCAAATTGAAAATATGTGCTGTATTAACACGTTTGCTGCTAACCGCTAGATGCCGCGACTGCGCTAGGAGCTGAACTAGCGCTTGCCGCTAAAACACTGAATTACAGTAAAAACAACAGTAATTATACTGGATAGCAATGTTCTGCAATAAAACTGGTTTTGGACATAGTACTAAGCGATTCTGATAGATAGCAGCACTACCCAGGTTGCAGTCAGTAAAGTAGTGTCGCTATCTAGCAGGAAAGAGGTGGGACAAAGCCCTGTTCTAAATGACCCTGGTGGTGATTTTAGGAAACTATATTTTTTATTGTCAGAAACGTTTGTGGGGAAAAAAGTTTGTGTAAAATGTTTGATTTTGATCTCTAGGTGGGTTGAGCTTGGAAGCGGACTTACTTACTTACTGCTGTGGCCATTGGTACCCTAAGTGGTACTTGGCCTCCCTAACACACTGCCTCTCCATACATCTCTGCATCTTGCGTCTTCCTTCATTCTTCGTAGTTTTCTTATGTCCTTTTGGGATCACATCATTTGTCCGAGTTTTCAACTGTCCGAGTTTGTTAAAAATTACAAAATATTTGAAAAATCATTTGTCCGAGTTTTCAACTGTCCGAGATTTATATATAACTAATAATAATTAGATAAATAAACTGTCCGAGTTTTCATTTGTCCGAGTTTATTAAATTATTTTTAAAAATATCGAAATATCAAGTGTCCGAGTTTTCAACTGTCCGAGTATGGTTTAAATAATAATAATATTTCGTTAAATCAACTGTCCGGGTTTTCATTTGTCCGAGTTTTTAAATTATTAAAAAAAATATCAAAATATCATTTGTCCGAGTTTTCAACTGTCCGAGTAGGGGCAACATCAAAATGTGACACTGCGCGCCGAGACTAGCGTGTCTAAAGCGCCGGTTCAGAAGTCGATATGAACCCCTTCTGTGAAGGAGTCAGGCATTGTGCGAGCCGCGAGAGCCCCTCACGTCGAATTAAGAAAAATTATTTTATTTTTATATAAGACTAATTTTACAATTATTAATAATAAAATTAAACTCTCATCACCTAACACAACCAACCAAACTTGCTGATAATATAAAATACCCCCGCCATTATTATATTATCAGCAAGTTTGGTTGGTTGTGTTTGGTGATGACAGTTTTATAATTAAAAATTGTAAAATTAGTCTTATAATAAAAATAATATAATTTTTCTTAAGCCGACGTGAGGGCCTCTCGCGGCTCGCACAATGCCTGACTCCTTCACAGAAGGGGTTCACATCGACTTCTGAATCGGCGCTTTAGACACGCTAGTCTCGGCGCGCAATGTCACATTTTGATGTTGCCCCTACTCGGACAGTTGAAAAATCGGACAAATGATATTTTGATATTTTTTTAATAATTTAAAAACTCTGACAAATGAAAACTCGGACAGTTGATTTAACGAAATATTATTATTATTTAAGCCATACTCGGACAGTTGAAAACTCGGACACTTGATATTACGATATTTTTTAAAATAATTTAATAAACTCGGACAGTTGATTTATCTAATTATTATTAGTTATTTATAAAAACTCGGACAGTTGAAAACTCGGACAAATGATTTTTCAAATATTTTGTAATTTTTAACAAACTCGGACAGTTGAAAACTCGGACAAATGAACCTCACCCGTCCTTTTCTACTTGCTTCCACTATCTCTACCAAGACTTCCTTCTGGGTTGTCCTGCAGTGCTTTTTTTAGTAAAAAGTGTTTTCATTTATATCCTGCCCATCTCATCCTTCTACTCCGTACCTCAGCGACAATATCCGGATCTTAAAACAATTCTCTCAGTTCCCAATTAAGCTTTATTCTCCATTGTCCACCCTCAAACAAACTTATTTTATTTTCCCATTTATATTGTTACTTAGGAGGTTTCATATTCATAGTAGGTGAAGTGTTTTTCACTCAAATATTATTTTACGAAATGAAACCTTAATGAGTAAAACATTGTAGGTGTACAATGGGCATAGTGGCGCATTGGTGGGAATGACTCTGTGTCACAACAACCAATCAGTGGCAACCATTAGCAGCAGTGGAGCTGTCCTGGTGGTCAGGATTGAAACTAGTACAAACAAAATGTCCATCTTGCAGAGCAGACAACTAGACCTTCATGAGGAGGTGATCAAATATTATTTACCATTTCACTAATAGTCCAGGTAGCAAAAAGGCACAGGGAAATGTATGGAATACAATTTCTGACTTTCTTTGATAAAGTTAGGGGGTGAACATATTAAAAGTTCCCGCCTGTAGCCTTTGAGTGGGGGGGGGGGATAGAAGGTACCATTTTCAATTTGTTTTCACAAAAAAATCATAAACTATGTGTCATTGCGAAATTACTGTCATGTCTGTATTAAATTTACAGCAAGTTATGTTCTGCAATATTGTTTGATATCTTGTGTAGTTTTAATGTTATTCATTATCAAAAGATTGTAAATTTAGGAAAAGCATTTTTTCCTCAATGTTTATGGTTTTCTTTCGTCAAGATAACTCCTAAATTATGCACCCAATAAATAAATGCCAGGCATAGGATTGTATAATCCCAAATTCCCCTCAATAACATACAGTATGTCATGCAAGTAAACAGTAAGTTTTCTAGTAAATTTAGATTTCTTTTCTAATATTTTTATTCTTAAAATTAAATGATTAAAATAAATAAAGTTAATCTGCTCTTATAGAAATTTTTTAACATTCTATACCACTTTGTGGAATTTTGAACAGTTTGTTTTCTAAAAAAAACTAGCCGTCATACCCATGCTTCCTGATGTATTATCTTGTAATCTATTTTGAATAGTCTTATCTATCTCTATTGTAGGGGGCTGCAGTGGACATCAGTCACCACGGGTCAGGCTCACAGAGTGTGCTGGTCTATGCCACCATGTTGGGTTGTATCATAGGTTGGGACCTGCGAGCCCCTGGCATCGCGTGGAAACTGGAGAATGATTTGAGAAAAGGTACTTAAATATACACTAAAATCGTTTTATTAACCCTTCTCAGACGTTTGACGGATATATCCGCCTAAGTCTTTGGCGATAAAGGACGGGTAACGGATATATCCGCTTATGGTTTTTGATGTTCCGGACGGGAAGCGGATATATCCGCCTTCTCTTCAGACAGACTATCAGGTGCTTGAGCAGTAACCAGATGTTTCGCTGTACCAAGGCGCCACTTTCCTGCTCTCTACGTGGCTGCGTTCACCCCCGCTCTCCCCCCTCTCTCCCGCGCCTACCCCTCTCACGCGCTTCCCCCTCTTTCGCACACCCCCAACCTCTCCTACGCTCCCCCCTCGACGTTTCGCGCTCAACACTACGTTGTCTTTATTTATTTTTTACATATTGTTCTTTATTTATTTCCTAACGTTGTCATGGTCATATCTTTAAAGACGGGTGGCAGATATATCCGCTGCTTTTCTACCGATACGCGGACGGACGGGTAGCGGATATATCCGCATAGTTGAAAACGAGTGAAAAATTATTTTCACAGTATGAAGTGTTCCATTGTGTTTATTTTATGTATACTTGTATAACAAAACACAAATAAGGAAAATTAATTTTTATTTTTTCCTATAATTTTTTCCCGTTCTATGTCACGATTTTGCCCGTCCGGGAATTGTTAACATTTAGTGTACCACTTTTTAGTGAGTTTAACAGCATTGGCATTTTGTAGGAAAAGGTTCATAGACTTGTTACTACCTCATAAGCAACCTTTTTTTTTGTAGCATAATGAATTAATTGATAGCCATCTATGTAGAAAGCAGAGACATTGACTTGTTCAAAATTTTCTGTTTTAAAGAATCATTGATATGAGAATAGTGGATGGAGTGATATGCATTATGTAGGTTTTGTCACTAATACCAGCTGTTGCTTTTGCAAGAATTGTTTATTTACATCCCAACAATCAAGGACAGTACATTTCCATGAACTCCAGAGACGATATCCATCATTACCATCATATCCAATAAGTTTGCATTTCATTGCTTTCTTGTCAAACTTACGTCTTCTCTTTGGAACATGGACAAAACAATCTGTCCCGATAACTCGTAAGTGTTCTATTGCAGGTCTTTTTCTAAACCATAATTCATATGGAGTCTTTCCGGCAACTGATGACTTAGCAGTTCTGTTCAAAATATAGGCTGTAGTGTTTATCAATTCGGCCCACAAGCCTTGAGGCAGATCACCGTGAGCATGCATCATTGACCTTGCACATTCAACTATGGTCCGATTTTCTCTCTCTGCAGATCCATTCTGTTGTGGAGTGTATGGCATTGTGATCAACTGTTGTATTCCATTCACTTGAAGGACTTGTCTAATACTTTCGTTTTCGAATTCACCTCCTCCATCACATCTCAACTTACATATTACATGGCCTGTGACTTTGACTTTTGCAAGAAACTGCTTCAGCTTCTCTACAACTTGAGATTTTGTCTTCATAAAATAAACACTGCGGTAGCGAGTAAAGTCATCCTTGAACAATACAAAGTATTTTGAACCTCCAATCGACTCTAAGAAAGGTCCACAAACATCAGAGTGAACGATTTCACCAGGTACTGAAGCTCTGTGTTCATCTCTGCTTCTGAATTGTGTCCTGTGCATTTTTCCATAAGCACAACATTCACATACCTCATTGTCAAGCTTGAGAATAAGGTTCAGTTCTCTTCTTGCAAACTCTTGTACATGAGTTTTGCTTTGATGTCCTAGTCGTTCATGAAGTAACTGCAACTGATTAACAGCTGGAACTCCTTCCATAACAGCCATGAGGTCTACTGATTTTCTTACTGCTAATTTAAACAAGCCTCCGCCTTGACTTCTATGTCCTTTGATGAGTGGTTTACCATTTCTATCAAACAAAGTGCAATCTTTGGATGTTGATACAAATTTACTATTTACATTTAAATCTTGAGCAGCAGTTACTGAAAATAGGTTTGCGAAGATACCAGGTACATACCATACATTGGTTAGCTTTACTGGATTCCAAATACCATCCAAATTCGCTTCCATGCAAATTGTTCCTCTACCAATGTAATAGGAGGGTCAAATATTGTAAAGAGGAAGTGTTTGGCAATGTTGTGTGAGTAGGCTGGTAGTGTTGTTAAACAATAACTTGTTGTGCTGACCTACTGAAGGCTGTTGCTTTAAGTAGGCCAGTGCACTTGTTCAGGGGGTCAGTTTTGGTGGGTAGTGTTTGTGTGATGCACCAGAGGACGGGGTCCTGCTGGGGGAGCTGGAGCCCAAGGCCCTTGGCCTTGGGTCCAGGTAAGACAATGTAAAGGGTTTTCAAAATTGGGGTTTAGAGTCTTTTCAAAATTGGGGTTTCAGTTTCTAACTAAATGATTACAGTTCCAGTCTACTCTACCTTTTTTTTGATTGTTGGTTTAGCTTTGTGTTCTTTGTGTTGTTTTGAGTAATTAATAAAGTTGGGTTTTGTAAGCGAGTGCTGAGTTTCATTCCTGAGCTACGTCACCCAAAGTAACAGTAGGTATTCCAAGAGGAATACGACCGTTACAAGGTGATGGAAGCGCCGGGAGTTTTGTAATTTTTTTACAAAACTTCGATCTTGGTACCTCTTGGGCAAAATAATTGGCTTTAATTTTTGGGGTTCTTTCAGTGCAGAAAAATTTTGGTTTTTTGAATATATTTTTTTTTTTATTTGTAATCACCACTTTGGTGCAGTTTTTAATCAGTTCTATTTGGGGGTTTAGTGTTTTTTGGGACAGCAGTGAAGGGCTGGAATGCCGTAAATGTGAAGTTTTCAGTGTTATTTTATGTGAGTCTATGTGTCATGTGCGGGTTGCATGTGAGTTCGATATGTGTTCGTGTTCGGTTACACGAGTGTTCTAAGCGTCAAGTGCGGGTTGCACGTGAGTTCGATATGTGTTTGTGTTCGGTTACACGAGTGTTCTTTGCGTCATGTGCGGGTTGCACGTGAGTTCGATATGTGTTCGTGTTTGGTTACACGAGTGTTCTATGCGTCATGTGCGGGTTGCACGTGAGTTCGATATGTGTTCGTGTTTGGTTACACGAGTGTTCTTTGCGTCATGTGCGGGTTGCACGTGAGTTCGATATGTGTTCGTGTTTGGTTACACGAGTGTTCTATGCGTCATGTGCGGGTTGCACGTGAGTTCGATATGTGTTCGTGTTTGGTTACACGAGTGTTCTTTGCGTCATGTGCGGGTTGCACGTGAGTTTGATATGTGTTCTTTGAGTTTATTGTGTATCGTGTTTGGAAGCACGAGAGTTTTTGCGTTATGTGCTAAGTGCACATGGTTGTTAAGCATTGCGTGCTGGATGCACGAGGTATTATGTGTTGTGCTGGCTGCACAGGGTTTTCATTTGTTACGTGCTGGGAGCACAAGGTGAATTTTTGTTATGTGCTGAGTGCACGAGGTATTTTTGTGATGTATGCTAAGTGCTAGCTGCACAAGGTTTTTATTTGTTCTGTGCTGGGTGCACATGTGTAATGTGTGTTTCAGATGTTGTTTGCTGTGCACAAGTGTGTGTATTTGCCTGGTGAAATATATGTCGAATCTGGGATCTTGTAGTTCCCAGGTTTCTTGATGATGCGATTCTGTGGTTGCAGACCTGCTATTTCCACCCTAGAGTGTATATTGTGCGAATAATGTGGCGGACACATGTTGTCAAACTAGTCTGTTTCAGCTCTATATGCGCAGTAGATGCAGTGAATGGTGGATCAATATATTATATTTTGTAGAAGTAGTTTGAGGGATAATTATTCATAGTGTGTTATGGTGTACTGTTTTAGAAATATATTTGAGCTTAAACTTTAATTTGATAGTAATATATTTTTTTTCAGATGGGGATTTTTACAAATGGTTAATACTGTTAATGATTAGAGTAGGTGTTCATGTTGATATTTCAGAGTATAGCACGAGCAAAGTTGCGGTGAGAGAAGTCAGCATGTTTGTAGGCTGAGGAATGCTGAGTGTGGTGTAAATGGCCTCTCTGTGACCTGACCTTGCTGAGTGCTGACCGTGTTGTGTTACACTGTTTACCTTTTAATACTGATGCTCTAGAGTTTGCTTTGGGAAATCAGCAATGCATGAATGTTTTATTTTGGGAACAAATTTTTGTTATAGGTGATAGATTGTTGGAGAAATTTTAAAAGGGAAATTGGTTTTGCTTACGGGTTAGATTGTAACGATTTGGGCCCAAATCATTTTTTCCAGAAATTTTTTTTTTATGCATTTTCATTGGAAAATTATATATGCCGTTTTTAAGTGTATTTTTGATATAACACATTGAAGCTAAAATTTAACTTGTTTTTAATATGTAAGCAAACATAATTTCACTCAATGTTATGAGGAGAAATGACCAAAATGTTGGTAAACTTTTAAACATAAATTATGTAAGCTATATTGAATGAGGTACATAGTTTGAAAATTTTAAACTATTATTTTGACAATGATAAATTGTGTTTGTGTTTTAAAAATGCTATGGGGAAGTCTAATTTTATTGGAAGATGATTTTGCTTTGTTTTTTCTTTGTTTATACTATTTTAGAGATAAATTGTATCATATTTCACAAAGGTGGCAACTGTATTGGGAAATAATGTTTTAAATGTTGCAATAGTTTCCTCTAGTAAAATTAACAATCTGGCAAATTTTGAAGACAAGACAGTTTATGTATTAAAAGAATATTTTATTGAGATATATTTTGTTGTTTAGATTTTTAATTATCAGGGACTTAAATGGGAGACAAATTGAATATTTTTGTTCATTCAGAATTAAATTAAATTATACTAGAAATGAAAGACTGTTCCATCATTTATTGTTTTAAATGCTTTAAAAAGGTCATACTTGAAGAGTTAAAAGTAAACCAATCAGAAATTATATATAACGTTTTGTTATTTAATTGTATAGGCCTATGATTTGTTAAGGTAACACATTCCAAACACTTCTCTTAGTTTCAATAATTTTTGTTTTAATGTTGGTTGTTTT